CGTACAGTACAGAGCAAGTCCCTTTTGGCCTTTTATCTTACAAAAGAGAACAAACATTCCAGCCTTTCAGAAGTATTTATTTTACTTTTTTTGAGCTCTCCCCGAAACCTGGAGAAGCCAGGTATACTTGCTGGTAGGCAGACAGTATTTTGGGTCATAAAAACTGTGTTTGATTACTGCTATTTATAAACTTAGGTAGTACTACTTAGGAATGCAGTTTTGCAGCTTACCCCTGCGGTAGCTGCAGAAAACATGCGTACTAGCTAACACTACCCTTAGAGAAAGAAGTTTTTTTATAATGTTCACCTAATCTGGTGACACATTGACTTCTGGCTCAGTTGAAAAATTTATTAAAATGTATGGTCTAGAAAGTTGTGATCGAAATGGTGTTATAGAAACAATTCTGGAACTGATGACTGATTCACATATAATTCAGAAATTTCACCTCTGACAGTGAATGTCATAGGTGTTTCAGAGGACAGGAAACCATAAAACATAAATCTTAAATAACCGTCTCAAAAAGAAGGGGACATTTGTTGGGCTAGTTAGTGATTATATGCTGAATTTTTAACTATTTGTATCTATTTTTAACTATTTATATCTGCTTAATCCATTCTTTAACCTTTATGGTAACTGGTCGCAGCCTTTTCTCATGCATGATGAAAAAGGAAGTAGAATGTTTTTCTTTTAAATGCTTATCAACAGACTTGGGAAACAATAAGTATCCTCAACTGATAGGTCTAGAAATGCAAAAGACTGAGGGAATTTCCTGAAGAAGGAATTTCAGAAAGTCTAGAAAATTTAATAAGATTTATATTGTGCTGGAAAGTAGGAATTCTGCAAGAAGTGCTGCTGTTGTTGCTTGCAGGCAAAACTGCGAAGTAGCAATGGGATATTGGTGGAACCAAACTGATGAATGTCTCGTATGAACCTTTTGGAATAATGCAGGGAATAAACCTGTCATAAATGCCTTGGCAACTAGATGATCAGTAAAAGGGGAAGGAAAATTGCATTACTAGATGACTTAACAGTTTCAAGGGCAATCAAAAATATGAATACCTGGGTTCAGGAAGGTTGCTGAGGTGACTCACCTACGGAAACATTCTGTCCAGATAAAGAGCACCTACATTTCTGTATGTCTGACTTTTTTGATCATCAACCACTCTTACCGTCAGACTGATATAATAGCCACGGCGGTGCAGATCCCAGCGAGTCTTGTGTCATGCCTATTTAGAAAGTAAAGCAATATGGATTGTCCTGTTTGCAATTCCCAGGAGCATATGTAGATGAAGCTAAATGTAGAAAGCTGTTAGCTAGTTAGAATTCTGTAGCAGAAGGAAATGTTAAGTGGTTGGAAATGTTTGAAACTAAGACTACTCCAGACCTTTTTCCCATCTAAACCCGAAGATGAATTAAGACTGGACTCCAGGATGTGTGAAATATTTTCAAGATTTGAACTTCTTTATTTTTATAACTATTTATTTGGAGTTTGTACTTATTAATACTAGTGCTTTTGCAGTAGTACAGCCAGATTCCTAACTGACTGAGATCCTATTGTGACAAGAAGTTACAGAAACTTAATATAGTTAGCTACTTACAAGTACCGATTAAAGTCCAGAAGGACAAGATATGAGCAAATAGGGAACAAGAAGACAGTCGAAATATATCATCCATACCCCTAGCCATTGTCTGTTTTTAATTATTATTAGTAAAAAAACAAAAAAATAAAAGTCTGTCTCTGGAAGAGACTTAAACCAAGGGTAATGGTGGTGCCAGTGACTGGGGGCATAGGGTGGGTGGTGTTATTTGGGGAAGTTTCCAGTGCTGGTCGCAGTAATGCGGAAAGGGATCGTATTATTTAGGGGGAAGCAGGAGTTCATTGAAATCTTCAATGATGGGCAAGGGGGTTATGTCGTTCCTGGGTTTTCATTCGTGGTGTTAGCGAAGGGTGGGTGGATTATGTTATTCCAGGTTTTCTGTTTGTTTTCTGCTTTATCCAAGGGGGAGGGTATCCCATACTTGGAGACAGCAGAACGCAATGATGCTAACAAAAGACATCAAATGGACAGGAGGTGAAGATTAGTAACAGTGATGAAAGAGAAGTGTTTTTAGATATTTCTAAGGTTGGACTCCTCTAATTGAAAGAAAACAATACTTATTTCTTGGGGAAACTAGATATCCATAATAGATATGCTTGGCTGTGAAATAGCATACTCATTCAGCATGCTGTGCTCTTGTCACTCTCAGCTGCACTGAGAAGCATTATCAAAAAGTTGGGATCAATGGAAATTACCTTTTCTCTGTAATTTTCTGAAAGTGAAGCTGCTATCGTGGCCCAGTTGCACGGAATTCTAGACAACATTGCATTTGTTTGACAAAATAAATCATGGGGTGGCACAATAGGATATGCTGTTTGATACCACAGTGGAAAAACACCTTAAAAATAATCTAACAATACTGCAAAGAGGAGGTCACAGAAAAGGCACTCTAAGAATAGATGGTCTGTGCAGAAACTAAACAATGAACAGGGTAAAGGGTAAAGTAAGCAATACACTAAGAGGAGAAGAAATGGAGAACAAATTTAGAGAGAAATTCATGTGGAAATTTTCAACACGAAGAATTAATATAGGAAAATTGGAATTGTAATTTTGATGTCACCCCATTTGTGTGATAAATTAATATTGCATAATTTGCATTTTATTCTGGTCTTAGTGGGAAATAACATAAAGATTAAATTATGTTTTTTCATTTGCTTTCAAAATAATTAAAGGCTGGTAATCATCTGTACAATGTCTCATAGTGAGAGTGCCATGCACTTCAACACTATTTGCAAAGATCATCTTTCTGCGAGTTTTTAACACATTGGAGAAAAGACCAAAAAAACCCATCAGCTTACTATCAGTAGGTCTTTTTAGCACGTACTGTTATTGAATTAGTAACCTCAGGTGCTTCTGAACACTCTGTTTTATGAAGCTCTCTATAGGAGACTTTTACCTGAAGCAATTAATTATCTTGACATCCTTCTTATCAAAGCCCTTCTTGGTGAGAAGATATAAGCATTTGTGTACACTTCACAAGGTTTTTGCAGTAGTGCTTTGATAGGACTAAGCCTTTCTATCTGCCAAAGCCCAAGATATGTTTTGGGAAGGTCAAATTATCCATTTTACCTGGTGTCTGACAGCTTGCTCTCTGTAATCTTCAGAGTGCATTCTGGTATTTCACAGGTTGGATCCATGAGCAGATGAGTAAAATTTCCAGAATCTGAATCAAGTTACAATATATTGGATAACTGTTCTAATTTTAGAAACAATATGCTCTTAATATGGTAGCCAGCCCAGAAGATGAGTTGTAAAGGCAGTGTTAGATGTCACTAGGTGCACGTGACTGGAATTGCACTGTAGCTACCAAGGGGGAAAAGTGCTTGCCTATCGAATCTTCATTGATCTGAAGAATATTATCATAAGTATCCTTTTCTTTTCAAGATAGTGTCTTCATCATGAATCCCAAGATGCACCCTTTATTCATGCTTTTTAGAGTCCTCAGTTAGCATTGGCTTTGAATTGTAAGGTGTAATTTATAAACTTCCAAGGAGGATAATAAATCTTCCATGAGCTATCCTAATGTATCCTCACTAGCACCCAGCTCATCTTTCTTTCCTAATTTGAACATAATTTTTTTATTGTTTTCCAACTGATATTAATATTTTACTTTATTTACGTGAAATGCAGCCCAGTCTATTAAAACCAGGAGAATTAACAGAGAGAACAATTTCCACATGCATAGGTTCTTCATGCAAAATACCTTTGATGCAGGGGCAACAAAACAAATAGTTGAAGAAAGTCACTTATTGGTAATTAATTAAACAAATAGTATTTACTAGTTACTAATTTATATTCACTATAACAAACTTCTGTCTAACTCCTGTTCTCTATAGCCTTGCTTTGTATTTAAGTCAATGTTAATATGAATGTACCTTTGAGAATTGGTCCTAATTCAACTTTGGAATGTGTTATAGGACATGAGATGTCAAAAATAATATAAACATTAGTAATCTAGCTACTAGATACATGGTTTGCTAGTGAAAAGGCGATTGCTAGAAAAAAAGAACTGCCAGATTTTTGAGCTCTCATAGAAGCATTATCTGGCTTTCCACATCACTGGTGTGAGTTCAGTAAATGTAATAACATCTCAAGACTTAATTTCTGTAAGTCAACATTGGATATAAAACACACTAAGCTCATGACTCAGACCAACTCTTGATTCTTCTGTATATTTGGCATCACTCATCATCACCGTTTCAGTCTTCCTCAGATGGTCCCAGAATAGTTGCTCCTATGAGGTTGGTTAGTGTGTCCAAGTGAATTTGTAGAAGAAAAGAAATAAACCAATCATTCGTGTTTTCCTTAACGCTGTGTTTCACCTTGGCTTTGTCCACATTGAACAAATAAAATGTGAAAGTTGTCTTTTGAAAGCAATTGCCTTTGCAAAGGACAGAAGGGAGGGGACAGCTCCAACTCTCAGCTCATTTCTAATCGGTTGGAAATATAAGCAATACTGGCAATTGGTATATCTGTGCATGCAGATTATTTACCCACTCGCGAGCCAGGTCCTTTTTTCTTTCCTGGCCCTCCCCTCAAAATATAATGCCTGTGCTCAGAAGACCTCTTGAGTTAAGAAATCCCCTTATTGGATGTTATTGTCCCTTGATTTAATTCCTGACAGAAAGACCAGACAATTAGTTTGTTTCTTGAATTTACATATTTTCATTGAACTGCTCTCAGTTTTCAAGATTCTAATGTGTGCGCACACACAAGCATTAATTGCAATAGTAGTCTCTATAATAGTGTAGTCTCTGTACTAATTTAATAGGTATGGTAGTAGGTAATCCGATGTTTCTGTATATCCTAGTACTATGCATTTTTTACATTTCTCTGTTATCTGACTGCGTGTTGCCCTCTTTGTAATAGTCAACTCATTTTTTTTCATTCTTTCAAAAACAGAAGTCGCCTGCAAAGAAGCTGAGCCATGCAATTAGTAAATCACTCGGTTGTGTACCAAGCAGAGAACCTCCTCGTCCTATATTTCCTGAGCAGCCAGAAAAGCCACTTGATCTTGCACATATAGTGTAAGTACCTGTTTTAATTTGTATCACTGATTAAGTGAAAAATAAAGTAAGGTATTTGCAGATATATTTGACTTCAGAATTGGCTAGCGGAAAGGATTAGAATTATAGGCTTGCAATGCTATAAAAGGTGTAAACATTTCTCTGAAAAATTAATTGTTTGAAACAAACTGCTTTGTTAAGAATATTTTGTTAACAAGAGGAGTGAAGCAGAATATGTGTATGTACAATTAGACCCAAGGTCTGACTATATATTCTACTTGCTTTTATTAGTATTTCCAAGTACTAAGCAGTGTTATATTTTACACAGCAACTTATTGGATCATTTCTTATTTGTTGTAGGTTAATTTATATCAACAAAATAATGTTACTTAAAGGCTATATTTACTTGCGACTTAATGTTTTCCAGTATTAGCAGTTGATTTTAGCTTTATATATAGCCTGTTGTTGCTGTCTGGGAACATTGGCTCTACGTTCTTATTTATCTTACTGCGAGGTTTACTGTGTCTTTCTGCTCGACGGTAGTATTGCTACCGTTTCATTGGGACCTTACTGTAGAACTGACAAAGATTTTAATTAAGTACCGTGGTAGTGCTTGGTTTGAACAGACTTGAAATCAATTTGTTTCCTTGATTTGCTAGTTTTCACATGGGGAGAAAACCCAAATTCTAGCAGTTTGTATGTAAAATAAACTAAGCCTCCAAATAGATCTGTTTTAATTTCCTACAGATTCCTGAGAAAAAGTCTCAGTCTTCTCATACAGATGAATTAAAGCACATGCTATAGAGAAGAGTGAGGAGAGATGAGTAAAGTGAAGCGATATAATTTACTTAAAACTGAGGACTCCGTTTTCATGAGTATTCAGTAATTTGCAGTTCTGAGAGCAAGTCAAGATGATGCTCTTCCTGTTTGCTTTTGACATTGCCTTAAGGACTAGGTTCCCCTTGAAGTGTTCTCTCTTGGAAGTGTTTCTGAATGGAAGACGAAGGTGTTCAGATTTGAATGTCTCACAACCTCACCAAATTTAATACTAGCAGGTGCTACTCCAACCTTTCCTTATGCTTTGTGATTTTGATTGAATGGCACTTCTCTTCACTCTTCTTAATAGTTTTATTAATAGCTGGAGGCTAGCTTGTCAAAATATTGGAAAGGTGACAGTAATAAAGCTTATCTTGGTGTGAGAAAACACTCATGTAGCTTTCTTTCTTTTGTAAAGAGCAGAGAAGATCCATAACTTGATACGAAAGAATAAGGAGTTATAATGTATTTTAATACTAAACGTCTTAAAAATTTTTTGATTGTTACTGATTCCTACTTAGCTGTGTGGTTGTTTCTTCTAGTTTTTTATTGCTAAATATTTACCAATTTTTATAGTACTTGTTTTAATCCTCTTCAGTGAGGGGAGTCAGTTAGATCTGATTTAATGGAATATAATTGTTCTGATTTTCTCTGTTAAATTACACTTGTAAAGTAAAAAAAGAAAAAGTCTGTAATGCCACAGTTGAATGCAAAGCTGAAGTGCTGTGTTTTCCTAAATGAATAACTTATCACAACAGCAAAGAGCAGGTTGTGAGTTGTCCACAGAGTTAGAATGGTTAGTTCCATGTTTGGGTTGAGACGTGTTGTGGAGTTTGAGCCATTAAACTTTAGATCTGAATTTTCTGCAGGGAGGGTGCTGCTTGGCCTGATGGGAAACAATTTTTTTGTTTAGTTTTCTATCAAACACAGGTCGCAATGAATCAGTTCATATTTTTCTATTTATATTTGCTCTGTGCTTCTTCCATGTTTTTAAACTCATTAACATCTACAAGGGAAAGTAGTAGTTTACATTGTAATACGTCTACAGAAAATGGAAAGCCTCATCCTGTAATTGCATAAGTAGAATGTACGAAAGTAATTACAGCAATGGTATTGTTGTAATGTTTGCATGAGGAAGGGCTACAAGAACTGATCCCAAAACTACAAGCACAAGTTTTACCTCTGACGCAAATTACCATGTTTGATGAAACACAGGACACATCAGTTCTTTAGTGGATCAAACAAATCATTGCCAAGAACAACTTATGTAACTCTACCGGCCAGATTTTCTCCTTTAAATAATGACATAGTACAATGTAGCATCATCTACTGCAGTGCATTAACTCCAGTCTTGGCAGCCTATTGAAAAAAAAAAACCAAAAAAATGCTAGTAATAGAACTGCAAATCAGTTGATAATGTTTTGTTGCAAAAATCACAGAAGGAAATCCTCACAAGAAAAACTGGCTTTTCAATGTATTAATAGAGTCTCAGCTGAATATTTCAAGAACATCTCCCAACCACTTGTTTCCTTCTAAGATGATGTGTAAAGTGCTTTCTGTAACTGTTAATGCATTTTTAGCTTGCGTATCATTCTTCTAGTAGGTCATTTAATTTGATTATTCACTTGCATAAGCAGTGGTAATATGCAATATGATATTTGAATTCCATTACTAGACTGCCATTTGCATAATAAGAACTGCCTGCTGGGTCTGACTCGTGGCCCATCTGCTCTGGTACTCTGCCAATGGCGATAGGAAACACTCATTAGGAGAGAGCGCATTAGCCTGGCAGCTGCTGTGGGGGGTCCATTTTCCTCCTGCTCCCCCACCATCCTCAGTTGTTGGATTAGGAACGTTAGGGAGAACATCCTGCGTGGTCCCACTAGGCATCCATTTATTAATCTGTTGTCCCTGAAATTTTCTAACGCTTTACTGACCCTGCTGATGCTGCCTGCTTCCACCAACAGACTGTGGAAGTTTAGTGTTACCTGCTGTGCGAAGAATTTTTTTTTTTTTTTTTTAACTGTTTTAAACCAATCTCCTAATAGTTCCAAAGAGTGCTCCTGACTTCTGGTATTGTGAGAGGTAGTGAACAATTATGCTGCATTCAGCTTATCCATTGTGCTCCTGATTTTGTAAAGCACAATCATATTCCTCTTCAGTCTTTTGTCTTTGCAGAGCACCAGCCTTTTTCGTTTCTCTTCGTAGTGCAGCTGCCCCATCCCGTGGTCATTCTAGTCACCTTCTGTGGAAGCGCAGTAACTCAACTGCATCCTTTTCGGAATGAGGACACCAAAAGTGCACACAGAACTCAAGTTGTGAGCACACCATATATTATTTGAACAGTAACAATCTAATCTTAAAAAATGACTGAGTCTTCAGGAAAACATCACTTAACTTTGAAACTCCTTAACTTTGTTCACTGATATTTCTGCAGTGTTTGTGGTATTTTTGCGTGCCTTGGCGATGTGGAAACATCAGATATGTTTTCCGGTATAGGTAACATATTTGCAAGATCAAGTTGATAGACTGACAGTAAGGAATCCAACTTCTTTTCCCCATTATGCCCCTGATCTGAAGTGACTTTGGACAAGTTGTTTAACTCTTTTTTTTAAACATCTTTCTGTTCTGATTCTGTTTCTTTTATTATGGCTCCATACAGCCCTTGAACAATGGGATTGTGATCCTGATTGAAACTTTTATGTGCTCCAGTAAGATAATAAATAAGAAAAAATTTACTTGGTGAATATATTTTTGTTTCTGTGATGGGAGCAGTTTCCTATCAGAATGCAAATAGACCTATTATTTCCAATGCACATAGGACAAGAATATTTATCAGGAACGATACAGATGTGGTAGGTCCTGCCTTGAACTAGGTGACCTCTTTGACCCTTCTGGCCTTATTTGCTTATGGGCTTATAGTATATTTATTACAAAACAATCCTTTTTCTAGAGGATGTATATACTTAATATGTTCGTTATAAGAGAGGGTTGCAAACCTTAGGGAGGAGGGCATAGAGGGTGTGTGCTCACCAGTAGCTCCTAGAGAAACTACGTTTACTTCATGAGGCTTTTTCCCAGGTGTCTGCTGGAATGGCAGCTGCATCATTTCCAAAACTGCAAAACGTACTTGGAGAGGCATTGCTCATGGTGTTGCTCCCTTTAAGGCGTCTACTCCCATGTGCTGCTTTTAAACTAGAGCATTGTCTGCTCTCATCAGAATCAGAGAAGACAGCTGGAATGCACCTCTTGGCAAGGTGGACTGCTAAACTAAGACAATCCTCTTTATGCTTTATTCTACTCCCTAGCAAAGGATTAGGTTAAAGAATGTCCAATGTGTGTGTTTGGAACTCAAAGTTGGAAGAGCTGAATTTCCCAAAAGTGTGTAGTCTCTTGCCTAAAACCACCTCAGAGGCAAAGCATATTTGATTAACTTGATTGTCTTCTATAATGACATAACTGGCTTTTAAGGAAAGAGGAAGTGGTAAATGTAATAAAACTTACCTTTAGTAGCTCTTATTTGGAATCTGAGGAAATGTGCTAGGTTGGAAATTAGCTGGACTGCTGGGCTCAAAGGGAAGTAATGAGCCCTTTGACATCTAGGGCAGTCAGTTATGATTGAGGTCCGACAGAAGTCCATGTTGTTCAACGTTTTCATCAGCAACCTGGATGGTGAACAGCGTGCACTCTCAACAAATTTGCAGTTGTTACTAAATTAGGCAAGTGCCTGACATAACAAATGGTAGAGCTTCGATCCAGAGGGGCCACAAACTTCAATCCAGAGGGAGAAGCTTGAGGCTTGGGCCAGCAGAAATGTCCTGAGGATCAACAAGAAGTACAAAGTTCTGCACTGAAATGGAATAATACCATGAATTGGTACAGAAAACTGACTGACTGAGGGGTAGCCCTGCTGAAAAGGACTGATGTCCAGGCTGGGTATGACCAACAGTTGCTCTCAACAGGAATAAAGCTGGCTGCAGATTGAGCTGCATTAGGAGGAGCATGGCCAGTGGATTGAGGGAAACTTTTATTCCCTTTACTTAGTACTGGTGAAGCCAGACTTGGAACTCTGTGTCCAGTTTTGGGTCCTCCCAGTTCAACCGAGTTACTGAGAAAACGGAGGCTACTATCAGCTACCAAGATGGTTAGGGTTCTGGGGTACATGAGCCTACGAGGAGAGGCTGAGGGAGCTGGGCGTAGTCTAG